ATCGCCAGCCCAGCGAGCAGGGGCAGCTCCTCCAGAGGCACGTGCTCGCCTGCAATGCGGTGCACGTTCGCCACAATCGCGTGGTGCGCGTACGCTGCCAACTGGCCAAGCGAGTCAGCATCCTCGCCTAGCGTGAGCTCAAATACGGCCGCTATTGTGTTTGTGTGACGGTCCACCATCACAATGTCTGTTTTGGGGCGGGTGCCTGGCTTGAACCTGGCCAACGCAAGGCGGCAAGCGCGACAAGAGCACGGGCAGGTTCCCTGTAAGAAACCGGCATTTGCAGCATCACAAGCATCACAGGACACGCAAGAGAGCGGAAACAAGGATACAGCAAACACCCACTCCCCACCCCTCCAACGCCTGGACACAACATGCACCGCACAACGTACGTCATGATTGGGACCTCACTCGGGAACGTGACACCAGGGTCGAGGTGCGCAGCCGTGGCGCGAAGGTGCTCGGCGATATCGGTGCACATCTCCGCTTCGTTGGACCATCCTGTTGGCAGTGCTTTTGGCAAAGGCAGACCTGCGAGCAAGCGGTGTGTGTGTGTGTGTGTGTGTGTGTGTGTGTGTGTGTGTGTGTATAGGCAGGGGTGAGATGTAAGCGTGCACGCATTGCACGATGGTGTCACATCACATCTCACATCACAACCCTTCATGTGCGCTTGCGCACACATCGGCAATACACGACCAAACACCACATGATGATGACGACGTTGACAAACGCTCCAAGGCCAAGTACACGTGTCTGCACGTGCACCTAAAACTGAAAGCAGTGCAAACACAGGCAACAACAGTCTTCGCCACGTCCTTACCTTGTCGCAGGCCAAGCGTCACTTGGCGCCCCCTGGGGCGGGGCCCACGGCTGCTGGACACCTCCAGCACTGGTATTTCGTGAATCTTTGCAATCACTGCTTGCGGCGTGATGTCATCAGCCTTCAGCTCAAACTGGAAACGCGAAAACAAGCACGCATGCACACACGCACACATGCACATACACACGAGTGTGTTGACACAAAGGCGTGCGGGACGAGCGGTTGGTGAGAGGCATAGGGAGGAGTGCACATATGGCGGTACGTCGTTTAGTGATGGGTGGTGATGATAATGCCACCAAGCACATGACACACACACACACACACACAAGCACACAGTCGCACTCATATATTCTCGCTCGCACAAACACACGCACATGCACGTTCACAGAAATGAGCACAGCACTACTGTTCCACCAGCACCGCCCGCACACACAGCGCAGCGGCGACGGATGTCATTGCATTGCAGCACCTGTTTTGCGAGTGGCTCTCGCCATATGTCGGTGAAGAACTGGGCATTGTCCGGCCAGTAGACGAGATACGGGTTCTTCTCGGGCTTGGTGATGCTGCTGGGTGGCGTCGTGAAGAAGAATTCTGCACGCACACACACACACACAGCAGTGCAATCAGCGCGCATGAGGGGCGGAGAGGTGTCAAAACAAGCGTGAATGTGTCGCATGCGTGACTATGGTGGTGGAGGCTACCAATGCAAATGCCAACGACAGTAACTGCGACACAGTGACAAAGGCAGCGATAATTACAGTGGCAGTAGCAGTGACAAAGGCAACGACGATACAAGCAAACGTGTTGTGCGCTGTGTGACATCAACGCAAAACATCACACACACACAGGCGCAAACAGGTGCACGCTTGACCTTGTGTCATCAAGACAACCAAAACAAGCAGGGCCGTCTTCATCACCACATCCGCACGACAACACACAAAGAGGTGGATGACAGCATACCGTCTCTGATCGCGGCAGGTGAGCTGATCTTCTTCTCCGCAACGCGCTTCTCGATAGCTTGGAGAGCAGATAAAGTGATAGTGGCCAGTCGGGGCGGGCCAGCAGCGGGCACAAGGCCGGCCTCCCACGCTGTCGCCAGGGCGTCGTCCACCACCTGCGACACCACAGTCCACAGGTGCTCGGCACTTGTGGTGTGTGGCAGCGGCTCACCTGCCGCCTGCAGCAATGTCGTCAACGCGCGCACCCACACTTTGTGTTGCTGCTGCTGTTGCTGCCACTTCTTCCTCTCTTCCTCTCCGTTCTTCCTCTCCTCCTCCATCTGCTTGCGCCATATCTTCTTTTGTTCCTCAAGCACGGCCAATTCCCGCTCTTTCTCTTTCACCTTCGTCTCCGCCGCTGCAACCGCTTCTTCGTTGCCGGGTCCTGTCAGTTCTGCCCTCAATCTTTCATGCCGTGCATTGCCGATCTCGCCTTTCTTGTCATTGATGCGTTTCTTGAATAGGTCTTCGTCCTCCTTCACTTGCTCGGCATCGCGCTTCACCCTCTCCACCTCCGCCTTCATCCTCTCCACCTGTGCCTGCGCATGCACCGCCCTGATCTCGTCATGTCCCGCCTTTAAAGCGGCAAGCTGTTGTTGTGCGGCCTGCAAGTCATCTTCCAGTTCTCGCAACACGCACTGCATTTTGACGTACTCTGAACTGTCTTCATTCAGGGCCCATCTCTCCAGCAGATGGAGCACGTCATCTTCCCTGCTGCTGCTGCTGCTGCTGCTGCTGCCGCCTTGCTGCTGCGCGCATACTTGCAACTGCGTAATGGTTGCAAACTGCGTGGCTGCCTCCGTTATGATGGACGCCTGTGCATGACGGTGGTGTTGTGAGGGTGGGGTAAGAGGTGATACCGGTCTGTGGCGGGGGGGTGAGGGGGTGGGGGATTCGGTTGCTGCATCGTAAGGCAGTGCTGTGTCAATGTGTGCTTGTGCATGCGCAATTGCAGAACCTTGGAGGCCACGCGGGTTTCAGTTCGCTTCAAGTCTCTCTGAAAAGAAAAGACGGGGGTGGATATTATGCACGAGAACATGAGGTGGGTGCGGGTATGAGCAACATCCTAGAACATCGTGGCGGAAGCCGAAATCACAGCACGTGTTGTGGTGATTGCACCGTGATGGTGGTGGTGGTGGTGGTTGCACTGTGGTGATGGTTGGTGGCTGCGATGGTTGTTGCTGTCTGTGGTGACTGTGGTCGGTGGTTGACGTACCACGCTGTTGCGTGAAGCCTGCTGGTGTCGACAGAACGGCGTTGTGGTGGTTGAAAGGGGTTGGGCAGAGAGTGTGAGTGAGCACAGAGGGTGAATGCAAACTTCACACACACATACACACACACACAAGCAGCTGTGTAGCAGCGGAGAAATGATAACGGCGCTGTGGTGGTGGTGGCTGGTGGCTGCGATGGTTGTTGCTGTCTGTGGTGACTGTGGTCGGTGGTTGCCGTACCTGGCTGCTGCGTGAAGCCAGCTGGTGTCGACAGAACGGCGTTGTGGTGGTTGAAAGGGGTTGGGCAGAGAGTGTGGGTGAGCACAGAGGGTGAATGCAAACACTACACAAACACACACACACACACACACACACAAGCAGCTGTGTTGCAGAGGAGAAATGATAACGGCGCTGTGATGGTGGTTGCGCTGTGGTGGCGACGATCGTGATGCTGGTCTGCTTCTGCTGGCAGGACGAACACGTGTATCATGCAATCCAGCTTGTACTCGACAGACCATGAACACCTGCTGTTTCCGCTTACCCTTGAGGCCTGCTTATGTGCAACAGCACACGATTCAAGGCACGACACGCACAGAGCAGGCAGAAAGCAAGGAACATGTTGTGTTGTGTTTGAATGAGATGCAATGGGCAGGGGAGTGTGTGTGTGTGTGTGTGCTGTGGCCAAGTGAACGTGCAACACAGCAGCATGGTCGCATTCCTTTGTACGTACTGCGTTGAATGTCGCAGAGCTCATGCTGCCGGACATGGTGTCAGAACAGGACTGGGCCAAGACAAAGGCGGGCACAAAGGCACAGGTAAACAGGAACGTGAGCCACACTGAGGTTGTGTGTGAAGTGAAGATGCACCACACAGAGATATGCACATACACATACACGCATCAACACACACACACACTCTCTCTCTGTTCTTCCGCACAGGATGCAAAGAGTGGGAAACACAGTAACACAGACGGTGTGGAAAGAAAACGAGGAAGGCGGGAATCGACAAGGGCAAGCACGCCAGTGTCGACACACGGGCACAGACGACACAAGACACAAGTGTGTGCTCAATCACTCCAAGGGATGATCGCATAAGCAAGAAGAAGAGATAGAGCGCGTGCGAGGGAGATAGAGCGCGCGCGAAAGAGAGAGCGCGCGAAACAGAAAGAGAAACAGAAACAGAGAGAGAGAGAGACACACACAGGAAGACAGGGGGAGAGAGTGTGTGTGTGTGTGAACAGCAGCGCGAGACAAGGATGTGGACAAAGTAGAAAGAAAGTGAGGAAGGCGGGAATCGACGACAACAACAAACGCCAGGGTCGACACACGGCCACAGACAACACAAGACACCAGTGTGTGCTCAATCACTCCAAGAGATGACCGAATGAGCGAGAAGGAGACATAGAGCGCGCGGGGGAGATAAAGCGCGCGAAACAGAAAGAGCAAGACAGAGACTGAGAGACAGAAAGCGAAGAGAGACAGAGACTGAGACGGAAGGGGAAGACCGGGGATAGAAAATGAAAGAGACAGAGACTGAGAGACACACGACAGCTCTGCACACACACACACACACACACACACAGCACACACACACACACACACACACACACACACACACACACACAGAGCACAGAGCACATACAACAACCTCTTCGTCGATGCGCCACAGCCCGCCTGAAACCGATCGTGCTTGCCACCCTTCGTGGTCTTCGTGTGGTTGGCTCGTGGTGGTTGTACTGGTCGAGGGTGTAATTGAACTTCGCAACAGGATTAGACAATGACGTCACCCTCGAATCTTTGCCAACACGTGAATTGGGAAAATTTGTTGAAATCTTACATCATTCCCAGTGCTCAGAGATGAGGGAAGCAATCAAAACCGAAAGTGTGCTCATTTCAGACAGGCGCTTGTATGAGTGGGTGACTGGGTGATGTGAGGGAGTGAATGTCTGCTACTGAGTGCTTGAATGCTATGTGAGCGGCCCAAGGGCCTCAAGCGTTGATAGACAGAAACCAAAAAGATCAATAGAAACCAAGTGTCTCGGTGTGTGTGTGTGTGCGTGTGCGTGTGTGCGTATCTCCTTCATGTCCCTCTGTGTGTGTATGTGTAGCCCTCTCCGCCCCCCCCCCACTCGGCGCTGTTGCTGCTGTCATCCGCAACTAATCCATGGCCACTTTTACTCCCATCATGCTGTCAGATGCACAAAGTAATG